AAGCTGAACGTCACCATGTGGGTCTCCTGGTCCATGCGCCCCTGCAGGTCAGGTTTTTCAGGTGTAGGTTGGTGTAGTAGACACTTTCGTCCTCCAGGAGACAGTGGACCAGCATCAGGGAGGCGAGTTCTGGTTGCAGACCGTTGGATCACCTGAAGGTCATAAAGGTCTCAGTCAGGAGCTCGTCTCCGGTGGTTCAGGCCTGTCTTCGTGTTTTCTCAGACGTTGCACCCAAAGCGTTTCTTTCTCAGGACTTGGAGGCAAAGATGGGTCGACAGAAGCAGAGAGTTCAGCTGGGTTTTCTGTCCACCAGTTTGCTTTGCTGGTTTTATTGAAATATTTCATCATCACATCCAGTTTTCTCTGCACCCTGATCAACGGTGGGTCAGAACCAGGAATCTGCAGCAGCTGCTGCTTCCTCTGTAAACGGGTCAGAACCCGATCAGCGCTTCCTGTCTGCCGCTGAGCCTCGGCTCATCAGAACAGCAGGAAGTTTGTTAGTCCAGATAATGCGGCGCAGCAACCGCAGCGACGGAGGAACTCAGCAGGAGACTTTATCTCCTTCCTGCTGCAGCAGCTGCTGCCCGTCAAACCGCCTCTCACCACCCGGACGGCTGCAGGTTCTGCTCCGGCGGCTCCTTCGCTTCTCCTCAGAACCTCTGAGGCTCGGTCAGCATGCAGCTCTTCCTCCTCCTCCTCTTCCTCCTGGCTGCACGGAGCCGTGGCCGCCTCGGTGCCTGGCTGCCACGCGACAGGGACAAGGACCACGGCCGAGGCAGAACTGCAGCGGCGCCGGGTTCAGCCGGTCCCAGCGGGACTGGACCTGCAGACGCAGGTACCACGACCCGGTTTCTGACGTCTCCAGACATTTCTTTGTGTTGTTTTGTGTCTGGACCTTGAACGTTTCCGTTTCTCCTCCAGGTCTTGTTGTTTCCATCCAACCTGTTCTCCAGCCTGTCCTGGACCTCCTTCCAGGTGTTTCCGGACCTGCATGAGCTGGACCTCACAGCCAACCAGGTGTCTGGCGCTGGTTAATGGAGCTGAGCGTGTTAATGTTTCTGCGTGTCCCTCCAGGTGAATGTGGTGTGTTAAGCCGTGTCTCTCTGTGGCCCTCCAGGTTCCGGCCGTGGCCCCGGGCTCCGCTCCGGTTCTGGTCGGCCTCGCCGTCCTCCGGCTGGGCTCCAACCGCCTGACGCTCCTCCCTGACGGCGCCGCCGCCTGTCCTGCTCTGACTGAACTCTACCTGCAGAACAACTCCTTGGCGTCTCTGACCGACCGCAGCTTCTCCGGCCTCAGCAGGTTGAGGTCAGCCTGACGCCATGGCGATGCCGTCGGAGGGAGAGGAGAGGATAATTAGAGCTAGGGATCGAGTTGAACCTCATCAGAACGATGAAAACTGAAAAGTGTGTCCGCTCTGCAGATCCTGGACCTGTCGGCCATCGCATCTCCATCCTTTCCTCCCTCATGCTCCACCCACTGTCAGCCATAGAAACCCTCTACCTGGGACAACCAGGTGAGCAGCTGAATCCCAGCCATGCTAACACAGCATGCTACAGATTCATGCTAACACAATGCTAACACAGCATGCTGAATACCATGCTAACAGAGCATGCTAACATCCACGCTAACACAGCATGCTAACAGATCATGCTAACATTGCTAACAGCTACTAACATACCTTTGCTACAGAGCTTGCAAACATACCACGCTAACATAGCATGCTAACAGATCATGCTAACACACAATGCTAACATTGCATGCTAAAAGATCATGCTAACATACTATAATAACATTGCATGCTAAAGATCATGCTAACGTACTATGCTAACATTGCATGCTAAAAGATCATGCTAACATACTATGATAACAGATTATGTTAAACACACAATGCTAACAGCATGCTAACAGAATATGCAAGCAAATCTTGTTAACACAGAATGCTAACACCATGCTAACAGATTGTGCTAACACACCATGCTAACAGATTGTGCTAAACACAGCATGCTAACACAGCATGCTAAACACAGAATGCTAAAGATTGTGCTAACCGACAACCAGCTGACGTCTGCTCTGGTTGTCAGATCCAGGTGATGCCTGACGGCTGGTTCAGCCAGAAGGAGGACGTGCCGTACCTCTACCTGTCCCTCAACCCCTGGGCCTGCTCCTGTTCCCTCGATTACCTGCGCAGATACCTGGACGACTTTGGGCTCAACGTCTACGTCAGAGACGGCGCCCTCATCAGCTACGGCGTGGACAACGTGGTGAGCCGACTCTCAGTGACTGTAATAACTGCTTCTGCTGCCCTCTGATTGGATGAAACCTTTCCTGGAGGAAAGCCGCCATGTTGGTGGCGAGGAGGCGGAGCCAGGACGGTTCATGTTGGCATGGAGACGGTTTGTAAACACAGCCTTTACTCATCCAGGACCCAGTGAGACACAGCAGGGAGTCCTGGTCAGGAAGCCTTCACCAGTTCACTGTACTGGGCTGAAGGGCTAACCCTGACCCACCAGCAGGGGGCAGCGTTATTTAGCATCTCCTCTTCAAATCAGATGTTGCCGTTTCCATCAACCGTTGCTTCAAAACGTTTTCATAAAAACCGTGAAAGTGAGGAGGAAATGTTCCCTGAACGTAGACCTGCATCACTCAGACGCTGCTGCTGCTCATCTGGAAGCTGAACTCTGACCTTTGTTCCCAGGTCTGCGACTCTCCGCGGCGCCACCGGGGGAAACCTGTGGTGACTCTGGAAGAGTCCGATCTCTGCCCTCCAGTCGCAGAACCAGAACCAGAACCGCCTGGAGACTTCTACCAGCCGGTCACATCACTTCCTGCCGACCCGACGACTCCGGCTGCTCCAGAACCTCCGGCTGCAACCTCTCGTCCTCAACCACGACCCCTGACCTCATGACTGCGTCTGCAGAGCCGGCCTCAGCCCGCCACAGAGTCACACGGTCCTGGTACCAGACCTTCACCAGTCCGCAGCAGCGCTCCCATCACGCCAGTTCAGAGACGCCAACAGGAAGTTCATCAGTGGGCTGGTTCAACCCGACCTCACACCCGACTCCTGAAGTTCCCCTAAAGACTGAAGTTCCCCTAACTACTGAAGTTCCCCTAACTACTGAAGTTCCCCTAAATACTGAAGTAGTTTCAGGAGTTCCTGCCAGCAGGGGGCAGCATGTCAGCGTGGTTCCTGCCAGCAGGGGGCAGCATGTCAGCGTGGTTCCTGCCAGCAGGGGGCAGCATGTCAGCGTGGTTCCTGCCAGCAGGGCGGCGGTGTTGTGCGTCTGGCTGTCTGCAGGTTGTCTGCTGCTCTGCGCGGCGGCGGCGCCGTTGGTCCTGCTGACTCTGCTGAGGTTCTTCTTCTGCTACCAGAAGCTGTACAAGTCGCTGAGGCTAACGCTAGCAAGGAGGGCAAAGGTCAGGGAGGGGGCAGCTCTGCTGAGGAAGGAGGAGGAGGCAGATGGAGGAGTGGTGGCGCTGTACCGCTCTCTGCTGTTTGTCCACAGAGAGGGAGGAGGCGCAGCCTGCAGGGAGGAGGGAGAAGGAGGACAGACGGTTACTCTGAAGCCAGCAGGAGACGAGACGGGGAGGGAGGACAGAGGAGTGTACAGGAGGAGCATGTACCGCCTGGTCAGCAGGGAGGAGGAGCTGGAGGGGTGGAGGGAGGTGCTGGAGGAGTGCCGGGTCTCTGCAGAGGACGGAGGCAGGAAGAGAGGGAGCAGGAGGGAGGAGGAGGCAGCAGGAGCAGCAGGAGGAGGAGGAGCAGCAGGAGGAGGAGGAGCAGGAGGAGCAGCAGGCGTCTCCAGGAAACGCTACAGCGTGATTCTGAGGGAGGAGCGGGAGGAGGCGGGCGGAGGGCGGGAGGAGCTGGACTGGGTGGTGGGAGGATGGGAGGCGGGCCGAGGAGCAGAGGAGGAGGTGAGGAGCAGCTGGGGGGAGTGGCTGGCCGGGTATTTACCCAGCATGCCGTGGGGCCTGGCTGCTCCTCCTGAGGAGGCGGCAGCAGCAAAGTGAGGAGTCCTGCTGGTTTCCTCCCAGTTATTTTATTTTAGCCACCAGATGAAGGCGCCATCACATTAGGCCCACTGTCACTGACCTCTGACCTTCAGTGACCTTCATCCTCCAGGTTCTTGCTATGCCTCTGCAGATGACTCCTGGTTTCCTATTTCCTTGTTTCTTGTCTCCTTGTTTCCTGTCTCCTTGTTTCTTGTCTCCTTGTTTCCTGTCTCCTTGTCTCCTTGTTTCTTGTCTCCTGGTTTCCTGTCTCCTTGTTTCTTGTCTCCTGGTTTCCTGTCTCGTTTCCTGTCTCCTTGTCTCCTGGTTTCTTGTCTCCTGGTTTCCTGTCTCCTTGTTTCCTGTCTCCTGGTTTCCTGTCTCCTGGTTTCCTATTTCCTTGTTTCCTGTCTCCTTGTTTCTTGTCTCCTTGTTTCTTGTCTCCTTGTTTCCTGTCTTCTGGTCTCCTTGTTTCTTGTCTCCTGGTTTCCTGTCTCCTTGTTTCCTGTCTCCTTGTCTCCTTCCTCTGAGCATCGCCGCGTTTACTGCATGTTACCATGGAAACGCTCTGCACCAATTAAAGCTCACCTGAAAACACACCTGTCCTCATGTCTTCATTGAATGCGTCACTGATTCGTTCAGCACCAGGTTTGGTGACAGGACTTTGACTAGGCCGGTTCAGACTGCGTTAGCATTTAGGCTAACATCAAATGCTAACATCCTCTGGTTGTTTCCACCAAATTCCTCCAAATGTTTGATCCAGGTGTTTAAATCTTCACTAAACGTCGTTTTTCATTTTAACACTGGAATAAATGAATAAATTTAAATAGTGATTTATAATAACAATCAGAAATATTTGATTTAATCTGTTTGGTACAAAATAATTAAAATTGATCAGGAAATATTGATTCTCCAGTTTTCTGATCCTCCAGACCAGCAGGTGGCGGTAAACTCCGCCTGCTGCTGGACAACTAATCTGATCCAATCAGAGTCCAGTTCAGGGCCTCCCGGTTCCGACAGAACTCCGAGGGGAAGTGGACTTCCCCCTCCCCGGCCTGTTGCTGGAAGCTCCATGCAGTAAGTCCTCAGGAGTCTTTGGGTTCTGATTGGTTCGGATTGGGTTCGGAGGCCGAGGTCGGAGCTGCAGCTGGGCCGGTTCGGTTCGGGAAGGTTCTCCTGCCTGTTTCCATGGTAACGGGTGAACTCTTGGGCCGGAACTGTTCAGGTAGAGCAGAAGGGCCCAAGGGGGGTCCTGGTTCCGGTTCTGGTTCTGGTTCAACTCATTAATGCCTCTGGGCTCGTTGAGTTCTACAGCATTTCGTAGCCCGGATATAACGTCATGGTGCGTTCAGGGACATCCACTACGTCACTAAATCAGTGGAGGCGCCATGATGACGTGAAACATTGACGTCAGTTCCTTCATGGCTCCAACTGGTTCAGTCCAGCTAATGGGTCAGTGAAGGCATCTGAACTGAACCGAACCGAACCGAACCTTCCTGGCTCACCTGAATTCACTCCACGTGAGTTACGTCATTGCGTCATCAACAGGTGTTATTGCTGCAACAATAAAAACCTGCAGAAGATGCTAACAGGCTAGCTGCACATGCTAGGCTAGCTGCACATGCTAGGCTAGCTGCACATGCTAGGCTAGCTGCATGCTAGGCTAGCTGCACATGCTAGGCTAGCTGCACATGCTAGGCTACTGACGGTGCGTCTCCATGGTTACTAATAGTTACATCTCCTCCATGTTGTATCTTTATTCAGTTTTACTAATGGATCAGATGAACTTTAATCTTCTGACCTCAGAAAAAGTTCAGAACCATCAAAACCATCAGAACCTTTAGAACCTTTAGAACCATCAGAACCTTTAGAACCATCAGAACCTTTAGAACCATCAGAACCATTAGTAACTGAATGTTTAATCATCAGCTGGTGATCAAAATGTTTCTCCAGAAACTTCAACTGAAGACCTGAGAGTTTATGAGCAGAATGAAGGAGAAGAACCGGCAGAACCAGGAGAACCGGGACATCACGGCTCAGATAAAGGTGGAGGAAACTGAGGAAGTTAAGCTGGCTGAGAACCATGTGGACCGCCAGGACCCAGAACCGGAACGCCACCCTCTGGAATCCAGCCAGACCCAAACGTCGGTGTCGTCTGGTCTGCAGGTCCGTGTTCGGTTACAGAGACCAAAATCTGGTGGAAAATCTGCAAAGATTTAAATAAAAAGGAAAATTAGATTAGAAAATATTAATTTAGCATAAAAAGGAGAAAAACTTTGAAAACAAACAAATTGTTGTTGAGCCTGAACTGTTTCAATCCCTGCTGGAGGCCAGAGCTTCTGTCTAGTTAAAGTCCTGATCAGTGATCCTGGTTGTGGATCTCTGGGCTCCACAGCGCCACCATCCTGTGGAGACGCGTCTCTGCAGCCTTCAGTTCAAATCCCAAAATACTTTGTAGAGAAATGAGATTCTGCTGTAGAGACCAGAACAGGAAGTGGAAACTGTTCATGATGATGATGATGACATCTTCATCAGGTTGCTGAGATTTGGGCTCTGATTCTGCCAGTCAGTAACCCAACCGGACCGGACCGGACCGGACTGAGGATGAACCAACAGACTCAGTTTCACCTTTGTGACGTTTCAGGAGCTGCTGTGTCCCATCTGCTGGTCCTGGAGATGGAAACATCTGGACGATGTTCCCTGATGAAGGATGAATCAGAGACGCAGAGCGCCAACGCCGGCGTTCAGCCCACTGCAGAGGAGAGCAGGTGGGGTGCAGCGGGGCGGCGGGTGCAGCGGGTGCAGCGGGCGCAGCGGCGCGCGGGTGCAGCGGGGCGGCGTCCTGCGGCTCCTCCACTTGGAAGCAGCAGCTTCTGGAGTCGAGAGACGCTTTAAGCGAAGGATCCTGATTGGCTGTTGTTTTGCTTTCAGACTCAAGTCGGGACTCAGAACGCTGGAGCAGAACCAGAGAGAAACTGGAGGCGAGAGTGGGCCGGCTGGAGCGGGTCCTGATGGGGCCGCGGCGCGGCGCTGCGGGCGACGGGTCAGAGGACGGGTCAGAGGACGGGTCAGAGGACGGACGTCAGCCGGTGGGTGGACCGTTGGACTCGTGTTTCTGCATCGCAGGATGAGACTGAAATCTGTCTGACGGCCCAGAGGCAGCAGGATCTGGACGGCGCCTCATCAGGCCTTTGCTACGGGACGCAGCGGCCTGCTAGAGGAGCAGGAACCAAGGTGAGCCCATCAGAACCCATCAGAACCCATCAGAACCTCACGGCTCTGCTGGAGACCCTCAGCCTGATCACTTTGCTGCTCCTACCGTCTGGCCTCACCAAGGTCACCAAGGAGACTCAGATGAAGAGGAGATCCTTCAGGGGTCAGAGGGTCGCGTCAGCGCCGACCTCTGCAGCAGATCCCAGTGGATCCCAGTGGATCTCTGGGACAGGAAGAGGACGTCTGAGGAAACGTCTGCCGAAGCCCAAGAGTGAGTTTCCACAGAGCTTCACTGCCGATCAGAACCTGACCCAGTAACTCCTGGTTCTGATCTCCAGACCAGAACCTGACCCAGTAACTCCTGATTCTGATCTCCAGACCAGAACCTGACCCAGTTCCAGCTGGTCCTGCAGCCGGGCCTGGAGGCCACGCCCACAGCCAGGAAAGAGGTCCGGACCCGACGGCGGGGCCTGAAGTCCTTCCTCCACTTCATGTCCGTCGGATCCTTGAGGCTTTTGGACCGGAGCTTCTTACCCAACGCGGCCAGAATCCGACGGTGAGTCTCTTCCAGCTGATAGATTCAGAATGAGAGCAGCTCCAGGACGGAGCCCTGAGGAACCACACTGAAAAAAATAAGTCATTGGATGAACATAAAAAAATTATGGAAAGGATTTCCACCTGATTACTTTGCTTTATTTCAGCACCATGTACTTGTGTTACTCCTATTTAAATCAAATGAGTTGAATTAACTTGTTACAATGGTAATGCAATGGATGATTGTAAATCAAACATGTTGGCTCAAACGTAATATATTGTGGTTATTCTTATATAAATAAAATGAGTTGGCAAAACATAATTCATTAAGGTTGTTCTAATTTAAACCAAATATGTTGGCTTAACCAGAATTATGGTAATGCAATGGATGATTGTAAATCAAATGAGTTGGCTCAACTCCATTCATTAAGGTTATTCAAATTCAAATGAAATGTGTTGGCTCAACATATGTTTTAAAGGTTCCTTAACTCAGTTACTATAGTGTGACCCAGTGTAGTGCAATACAGCCAGCCCAACTAATCTGCAATGTTTAGGACCAAATCATTGATGTAACTTCATTAAGATGAATGTAAATCTAGTTGAAACCACCTTATTTTACAGTGGTACCTTCACACTACCGATTCAGTAGGTCCAACTCACTAAAAGTAAGTTAGCTCAACAAATATGCTTCATGCTAAAAGACAGCTAGTTAATCATGTGGAAATCCTTTCCATTATTTCATGATGTTAATTCAAAGACATTTTTTCAAGTGTTAATCAAGCATTTTAAGATAGCACTAGGTGAAAGTGTAGGAAGAACACTCAACAATTAGAAAAGGTACAACACAATTGTATTTTCAGAATTGTTATACATCGTTTTTTTACACAGCACAAAACAGCTGAGTTGGACATTGAAATAAAAAACAACTACAAAAGGTTACAGTTTCATTTCCCAGCCAATTCTTTACAACATAAAACATGTCAGTATAGTTGCTCAACTTAGAGAACTGTAACAATATAAATCTTTTCTACTGCAGACTTTAAACACTCATTTTCCATATGAAACTTATTCAACTTAGCGGCGAGTTTCATATTGAGAACTTGTGCTTTCTTGATAAGTTGTTTCCATCCAATTTCATTATTATTTTCTGTATTACTTCAAAGGTATGCTTGAGTTACTGAGCAAGTTGAGTGCTGAACGCACTAAACTTGAGGGTAGCTCAAGTTTAGTGCGTAGATTAGTCCCAGCAGCATCACTATTGCAGAAGATACACTGCCCAAGCTGTTCATAACTTCCACTCCTCCAGGACAATCCCAACATCCAGATGTGCATCGGCAGCCTCTGCAGCCTCTGCTCAAATGACGATTCCGAGGACAGCCTCGGCTTTGGCCATTTCATTCATCGACGTCCTAAGGGAGTTAGGGAAGGGTATTGGGGGGAGACAATTCACATGTAATTAAATAAATAAATTAAGACTGACATTGATTGAGTCACTCATGGACCTTAGTTGGTGAAAGTATTTTAACAACTCTTAGGAGTTCTATTGTAAACACAAAGAGAATTTAACATACCATGTACTCCCCACCAGCTTCTCTGGATCTTCATTTAGGTACACACAGACCTTTGAGGATGCACTCTCGTCTGACCTCAGCAGTGTCTTCCTAAATATGCAGATCAAAAAACAATGAGAACAATCTCAAAACTCCAGCAGTATAGGTTCACACACTTGAAAGCATAGCTACATTCAAAGGAAGTCACAACAAAAGTGATCAGTGGCTTGCAGTCTGTTTGAAAGATATTTAAAATTGTTAGTATCCCTTCATTATGCCATGACTAAAATGGAGTTTAACATCTCATTTGAACATCTAACTGAAGCTGTTAGAGGTTTAAATAAAGACATGAATATATCACCAAAGAAATATGTGAAAAGTACAGAATGGTCAACACAGTCTATCCTTCTACTTAAATGAATATGCAAAGCATTCCATGTCTTACAAGTACATGGACAGTCTATGTGTGGGCATGGATAACGTCGCATATGCCGGTGTTTAAGTGTAAAATGTTTTAACAGGTCATATCTACGAGACAGAGAGAGACTACACTCCTTACATTTCCACATCCCCACGCAAATAAAGACAAATAAAACAGACTGGCCAAATAAATGTTCAGCTGAACCCTACACTGTAAAAAAGGAACCTCAGGGGTTATCACATTAACAAAAGAATATCATGTACTGTTAACTAAATAATTCCATGTTTGAGCCAAAAACATGATACAATCATGTTGCATAAACAAGATATTCCACAACTTCAACGTTTATAAAATGTAATCATGTTGAGCTAACATGATTCATTATAGTCAGACCGATCCTATGCTGAAGACCACGAGTGAGATCACGGAATATCACGCGAGTTAACGCCAGATTACAGGAAGCACGGGATATGACGCGAGAACACACGAGACAATCGGTTTTCACTCTGAACGGAATAAAATGTATTCATGGTGAGATAACGTGATTCAATTAGGTCAGATAATTACATCGGGGCGTATTACATTAACAAAAGAATATCATGTACCTTTTACACAATAATTTTGGGTTTGAAACGACAACATGATAAAATCATGTTGGATAAACAAGATATTCCACAACTTCACGTTTATAAAATTGAATCATGTTGAGCGAACATGATTCATTATAGTCAGACTGATATTGTGCTGAAGACAACGAGTGAGATCACGGGATATCACGCGAGAACACGCGAGACAATCGTTTTTTTTCTGTCAACTGGACTAAAATGTATTCAAGGTGAGATAACGTGATTGAATGACGTTATCTCACCTTGAATACATCGAATTAGCATACACACACACACACCCACACACACCCACACACACACACACACACACACACACACCCACACACACACACACACACACACACCCACACACACACACCCCCCCCCCCCCACACACACACACACACACATATATATAAAAAAAAAAAAAATTCCCTTCTCACCCACCGCGGGTGGTTCTTATCCTCTGAGCTCGGGTCCTCTACCAGAGGATATATAGATATAGATCTATATATAGATTTATATATCCTCTACCAGAGGCCTGGGAGCTTGAGGGTCCTGCAGTATCTTGGCTGTGCCAAGGACTGCTGCACATTTCTGGACTGAGATGTCTGATGTTGTTCCTGGGATCTGTTGTAGCCACTGCTCCAGTTTGGGGGTTACTGCCCCGAGGGCCCCGATGACCACAGGCACCACTGTGGTCTTCACCTTCCAGGCCCTCTCCAGTTCCTCCCTGAGGCCCTGGTATTTCTCCAGTTTCTCCTTTTTCCTGATGTTGCAATCACTTGGTATTGCTACATCTACCACAATGGCTTTCCTCTGATGTTTATCCACTACGACAATGTCTGGTTGGTTCGCCATTACCATTTTGTCTGTCTGGATCTGGAAGTCCCACAGGATCTTAGCTCTGGTGTTCTCTACCACCTTTGGGGGTGTTTCCCACTTTGATCTCGGGGTTTCCAGTCCATATTCTGCACAGATGTTTCTGTACACTATGCCTGCCACTTGGTTATGTCGCTCCATGTACGCTTTCCCTGCCAGTATCTTGCACCCTGCTGTGATGTGCTGGACTATATATATATATATATATATATATATATATATATATATATATATATATATATAATTATGGAATCAATATTAGTCAAAGTTAATCTAATAAAAAAAACAGTGACGTCAATTCCAAAGCTCTATAGTGTCAGACTCATCTCCCGCCGAAGAGGATCCAGCGACATCAAGAGATTACAGAAAATCACGCGAGATAACTGGCTTGCACCTTGTTGGGTTTTTTTCTCAAGACAAGCGGGGAGTTTCCTACTTAATTTGAAGAAGGTAAGAGTCAATCTATTTTCATCCATCTAAATCCAAAGACAAATATGTAACTTAAAATCATCAGACATTAGAAAAATAATATTTTGCTATGTTTTCTCACGTGTCTGTAATTCCTAAACCCAAGTCAGTGACTAACATGTGCTAACATCCCATGAAGTGATGATTAGCTGGCAATTATCTAGCGTTTCTCTACCATTTGCACCATTTTCTACTTGTTCCATACTTGTGTCACATTATTTCATGTTTTGTAGATTAAGTCGGTTAGGTTAAGGCAGATAGCTTTTTGTGATATCATTGGTAAGTTTACATTTATGGCCGCACCATGTTAGGTACATTCTGTGCGAAAAAAGTCTGCAGAAGCCATATGTAGTGTAAGGGTCACAAAGCTGCTGCCAGAGACACAAATGGACCCCAGAAATGTCACAGTTTTGCTCCTCCTGAGCTCCCTGGAGGTTTAGTGGATTTTTAACACACGGATCTAACATCAGCCTATTTCTAACTATTTTAATTCTATTTCAGTAATGTTACTATGGAGGTAAATGTAGATACACACACTTTGGTACCTTTCTATCATCATAGAGATTCTTAATAAAAAGTCTTACATTTCAGTCGGTGAAACCTGCAGAAAGCATTGCTTTCTGAGCTTTGTTAAATGTTCCTAAAATACCTGTTATGGATTTCTAGTATATTTAGTCTTAGCTAAAACTCTCAATGGATTACCCATCATTCCTACTATTCCATGAACAGACTTGAGCTTTCTTTTTAAAAAAATACTTATTCCTCTGCTGTAAAGATGTCGTTTTTTATTGGACTTTTTTGTCCCCAAATAATTGTAGCTCAGAAACAATATTGAAGTTCATTGGTTTAATTTTGAAATGTTGATGTTTTTTGTGTTCATTGTATGTGCTCATTTTGACCTTTGTTACTATTACTTTCTACCATGTTCAATTCACCACTGTTCTGCACATATGTGCTTGCATACAAGTGTCCAGTGGTTATATTCATGAGGCATTCAAGGGACTTGTACTAAAAGATACAACTTAGCTCACTATGAATTGCATATTTTAATGGCTGAAAATATATCTGATCTCTTTCAGAACATCACCAGATCACG